AATTTAAAGGTGTCTAATATTTTGTAATATTATTCCCATATAGAAACTATATTTCATGGGACATCGCATTCGATTCCTGTCGGGAGGCCTTTACCTTTTATTAAGACTTTCGATCTCTATACCGGTAGACATTAATTTCATTGTTAAAAAGTACTAACCTAAGAATAGATTTATTAGCAAAACATGTTGTAGAATTACATGAAAATGCTTTGATTCTCTGCAAAAAAATGGGTGCGATATATTCACAGGTAGTAATTGAAGAAGTAATCTTTACGTCATATCATGTCATTTTGTCTAAGTGCTATCTGTAACAAAACAATAATTTAATATACCTTTTTGGCAGGAAGATTCAGTCAATTCTGTTACCGCTGATTTTGTGGGACAGCATAACTAAAAAGAAGGCAGTAAATTCAGGATAAACTTTGTACTTCTCTGTAAATAATAGGATATCATTTCGGAAATCTCCAATAATTTATCAGCCTTCATAAGAAAAATTATTAAATAGAGATATAATCGAAATCTTGCCAATAGATCAATTGGAATAGATTGGTACATCTATAATGATAGAGATATATAGAAATAAAAAAGATGAGAATGGGTTGATGCTTGGGGGGGGGTGATGAGAGAGCAATTGAGAGAATGCAGAGATTGATATGAAAAGATTAGGTTAGATAGAAAGATAAACTGATTGATTTGGACAAACTAAGATTGAGGAAATATGACCGGTCAGAAACATTGATGAGAGATTGATAGACATGAATTGAAAGAAATGAATTATAAATATTCTTTGCGAACAATCTTATGCAAAATATTTTGTTTCTCTTCTTTTTACCATAAAATCGAATGAATTGCGTTAGTATAGGATAAACTATCTGTCTATATGTGTGTAGATCTGTGACACAGGCTTACATTGTTGTCACTGCCCGTATGTAATCCCAGCAGTAATCCATATGAAGTAAAGGCAAGGGAAGTTAGTTGCAGAAATGACGTAAATAAATAAATATGCGAAAGATGTGAGCAATTAATTAAGTGTAAGAATTTTATTTTTGTTTGTGTAACAAACGATCGAACAAACACCTAGGCCAAAGGTTCACTGAAAGACTAGTTAACGAACAGGTATTGATCATATTTATAATTAAATATTATCTAAAATTTAGATTTATTAATATCAAGCTTATTGGCTAATATATATATTCCCAACTTTTAAATATTTTTTTAAGGAAGAAGAATATTGAACCATGGCCAAGTAGTATTATACGCCTCCCACATGTCACATAACAAGCTGAATTCTAACAGGCTGATGTAATGTAACCAAAAAGAAAGTTGAAGCAACGCACGACTCCTTAGATTTTGTCAGACGTTATTTCAATTCCCTAGACATGTTTTCAACAATAAAATACATATTTACATCTTTTTTATTAATCCACAAATTATAAACGGCTGTGAGTTACCTCACTTTTATGATTTTCAATTGCGTATACGGCCAGTTTTGCAAATGAACGCTATTAGGTAAATTTTCTACATCATAATCTATCGCATTTGAAGATTAAATTATAAAGTGTGTAGTGATATTTTGTTTAACAAAAATGCTTAACAAATGTGTTTCACTTTCTAGTGGATGTTACTAACAGTGAAAAAGTATCGACATTTACTTTTCCTCTTGGAAAATTCGACCTCGTAGAAAAATGGATAAAATTCTTTAATCGTATTGATTGGTTTCCTACAAAAAATCAATTCTCTGTATGAAATATTTTGAAGAGAAATTTAATTGGAAGAAAAACGAAATAAACTGAATTGGGATTTACGTCTGATACCTACAATATATTCTGAAAAAATAAAACTGTCTCTTTTGCCGAATTCAATGAAATTCACAAAGCCGCCAAAACAACGAATGACCCAAATTAATGAATAAGATGATCTTATTTCAGCTGATATGATAAAAAGGATTTTATTCAATTTGAAGAATCAAAGTGTTGTCTTAACGGTTTTGAATATTAAAAAAAGGTGAGATTATATTCTTATTTATAGAATAGTCTTTGATCCTGAAACATATTTTCCATCTATAAAAGAAGATATTCACATTGACCAAAGACTTCACGGCCAGCCCCACTGCGATGAAACCCCCATAACGTTACACAGTGGTATATACATAATAAACTCATAAGTTTTAGCATGTTAGAAAAATTTCCAAACTACATACCAAAGGTGGTGGAAGAACAATTGTATTCAATTCTAAAAGAATTACAAAAAAGACATCATTACCAACCAAGAGGCGGTCCTTCATTTACTTTAGAACTAATACGTTATGTATCCATCCTCAAGGACACATGGCACAGTGGATAAAGGCATTGGTTAGATCCAGTGACAGGACCCAAAGTGTGAGATCAATACCCGGTTATGGCAGTGGAGAAATTAACAGGAGATAACTGATAACTGACATCCATTAAAAACGTGGCACGTGGAACTAGAACAGTTTATTCCAGTGAGCGAAATAAATGGTTCAGTTCGACATTCCAACCACCTGAAGAAGACCGGAGCGTACAACGATCGAAACGTTGTAATAAATATGGCGACAAAGATGAGGACAATAGTCCAAATAATGTAAATAATGTACTACGGTATGCTTTGCTAATGCGCTATAAGTCTCAACAAGCTTATAAATTACTTCTGGAGGAATTTCCATTACCATCTTTTTTCTTTATTGGAGAAAATTCAAAAAGGTGGAATGGAATCAATTACATCCGCAAAATCCCCCCTGGAAAAATGTGATTTTCCTCAGGACTGTGTTTTAATGGTAGATGAAATTTACCTTCAAAAGAAACACAATTTCATGGTGGGGAGTACATTAGTGGAAATAAAAGTGATGCATTTTATAAAGGAATGATGGTATTTATGATGAATAATCTTCAGTAGGCAGTACCATGAGTTGTTAAAATCTACCCTGAAATAGCAGTTAATGGTAAGTGGCTTTCTTATGAGATTCTGAAATGTATTTTACAACTTATAAATGCTGAATCTTTTTAGGGTTGTTGTTGCAGACAGACATCCAGCCAATGTGAATGCATTTAACTTTTTACTTGATAAGTTTAATGGCAACAAAATTTATTACATAACTATTTCCAATTCTCTCCCCAACTCCCCACAAATACTTCAGTATTTTGATTCTGTACACTTATTTAAAATATTCGGAATAGTTTACTGAGGAAAAAGAAGATTGCATTTCCTGCTTTTGTTCATAATTTTTTCTGAGTCAGTATATACACTCTGGTCTGACATACTTAAAATATATGACAAGAACAACATTCTAGATGCTAAATTACGTCAGCCCGCAAAGTGAGCATTCAAAGCACTGCTTCCTAAACAAAATTTTAATTCAGCTTTTCAGGAGATAACTATTGGAACATATGAAGGCTACTTTTTCCAATCGAAATTTGCATGAGTTTGATTGTGTTAATTCGTTTTTATGAGTGTCTTCCACTCATTAAAAAATAAACTGGGTCATATTTAAAAGTTAGAATTTTCTTAAAAAAACAAAAACCTCACACCGTCCAATGAAGTTGATACTGTGTATATAATGACATTGGAAGTGAATTGTCTATCACGAGCTTCTGTCGCATAACTAAAAGATTGATTCGAACAAGTACTGCTTCAAATTAGACCAGCTAAAACCTGTAATCGTTAACAGAAAGAGCATAATGTTTTATGTTGATAACACTAATCTGCGTGTTTAGTGAGTAGGCCAAAAATTATTGCCGATTATCCTTTCTATTGTATTTACTCATTCGCTGTATTTACCAAATACTAGAAATTCGGATTACTATTTATCCCAATCCTTACATTTATCCTTATTAAAGAAAAAAATCATTTCCTCGGAAAACTGTAACAAAAAGCATCTAATCTTTTGAACAATGTAGTAAATTTAAATGATGGGAAAATTGATTTCGACAAAAAATGATATGATTAGGTTGAGTCTTAGGCATAGATTTCAGATTTTTGCCAAAAATCAAACTTCCAGTCTATAATTTTGCAAGTGGAAATGTATGAATTTGTTTTGCATTCGTAGGTTGCAAAGTATATTTTCTCAATATCGACAGATGAATAGTGGTAGGTTTTTAGGGAGCCTTCGTGAAGTATTGAGCCAGTTCAAGAAAATTACACTACAATATTTCTTGATATTTTCGCCCAGCACAAATCATAAATACATGAACTCTCTTTGTCACTAGACAGAAAGAAGTGACGTATACAATTTCAGGTTATGTAACAAAAAAATTAATTAAACGTTTTCAATGTGAATTGTCTTCTCTCGTCATGGTAAGTAATGACAGTGATGATACTATAGAGAAGAATAAATTTGACTTACAATCTCGAGTAGGTTTTACGGTTCCATCGAACAAATGTCAGATTCCGTATGTGCTTATTTTGCTATACTTGATTATGCAGATAAATCTATTGTAAAAAAGAGTGTGCTGAATGAATTTTGGAAACTTATTTTCCAAAATATGTTTTTCCTTCTGAACAACACGCCGAAAAAGGAATTCAGTTTGCATCAAAAATTGTTGAGAATATATTTTACAACAAAGGAAAGTTTTCATCGGATGAAGTTCGAAAAAAAATTGTAGAATGTTTTTTAAAAAGGCAAAGGTCAAAAGGAAACAAATTTAGAGAGAAACTGTTGATAGTTTTGTTTTTACTTGTATTTGTTTTGTATTATTGTTTAATTCTTTAATAATTTTTTTTATTGTTTCCTATTATTACCTTACCGTTTAAAAAAAGAAAGCAATCAATTTGTGTATTTTGGGACGGTTTTAAGTTGTTTTAGATAACACAGACATAAATTGACTGTAAACCAAATAGACCTGTTAAAAATTAGCCGGAAATGTGACATGTGGGGCCCTATATGTTAGTGAGCCGTGGTTGAATATATTCTAAAGTTGAGACCCCAAAATTTCATTTGAAGATATTTTACCATCTGCTAATTCAATAAACGCCGAGCGTCTCGTTCAACTCTGGATGAGTTTTCCGTGAGAGTACCATTTTCCTACAATTCTGAAATGGGGCTTCACCAAAAATAGATAGATAGATATTAACAAACTGGGATAGATAGATAGATAGATAGATAGATAGATAGATATGAACTGAGGTAGATAGATAGATATGAACAGATATATATATATAGAGAGAGAGATAGGAACAAGCTGAGAGAGATAGATTTCCTAATTATGGACACAAGAATGATCAAATTAAGAAAAAAATATGAAGAAATCTTCCGATGTTACATTGATGGCTTTTTCGTCTACTCACACAGTCAATTCTTCTTTTATTGTTTCTCTTGGCCAATATTTCTTTTGCCATTTCTTGTGATTATCACCCCGTTCAGCACTTTGTCTTTCTGTTCACGAACAACGCCTGACTTCGATCAGATGTCATTGTGTTTTAATGTTTATTCCGCCATCTTGGACGCTGCTCGCTCGTGAAGCCTCCAGCCGCTTTAGAAGTTTTATGGCCGAAGTCAGTAACAAAACAGTAAATATATCTTAGTGAAGTACAAATTCAACAACCTTTAGTGAAGTCTAAATTTAGACAACCCTTAGTGGAGATGTAAGTTTTAGACGCCAAATATGAGACAAACCGAAAGAACGTAAAAAGAATTATTAATTTTAACGCCTCAAAAGTGAACTGCTCTCTGTTAATTCTCTAAGAGAACTATTTTTATCTTCCATTATCATGGCTGATGCTAACCTCCAGAGAATGACTCGCTTTGCCTTCTAGGACTAACGTTCTCGGCTGACGTGAAGTGAAGTTGAAAAACGATATAAAATACATTGCTAGGTAAGCTGCTAAAAAAGTTGGTTCACTGTATCGTGCAAGACATTTTTTCTCTTCCGAATCTATCTTCCATATCAAATAAGTCTGCTATTTTTCTATGCTTAAATATTTTTGCCTGATATGATCCGGTGCTCCTGTTATTTACTTTGAGCTCCTTGATTAAAAATAAAAACCCAAAGAGGAATCAGCAATATTATTGGTCCCGATATTGCGTCTCGATTTCATTCATTTTCCTACAGTCGAAAAGTTGCCTTACTGCCTTTTCTATAAATACTTTCATGGTATTTGTTAATGTGCTTTGTTGATTGCATGTTTGAGTGAGTGTTTGGTCGAATAATTCTTTTAGTAACTTAGTGCCGCATCAATTTCGTCCTTTTAACTAATATTTCTGCCAAATTATAGAGTGTCTAGGTTTTTTTTATTACTAACAGTATTTTATTTAGTTTCCTGTAAATAACTTTTGTTTTATTCTCCTCCAACTACAGACAAAAATTCTACATATAGGGACTAGTTACGACTTCATAGAGAATCTGAGGTATTATGGTGGATGTAGTGAAAATGGTAAGTAAGAATGTGTTATTTTTGTGTAAGGAATATTGTAGTTTGTTTGGGTATGTAAATGTGGCTAGCCAAGTCTAAGACAGATGAAGACCATCCTTTCGCCATTCCCCCTTTTGGCTTTGTAGTAGCTTTTTGCACATTTACAAAACAAATATTGCTCTTCGCTATGATGTCTAAACGTTATAAAAATAAGCTAGATTTAAGCATAAGTCCTCTGCTAACATTTCCTTACTGCATTTCTCGCTTATAGCACTCCCTTCCGCCCCGTTGCTTTCCAGCCAACTTTAAGCTTCAAATGTTTAAATGCAATGTCAATCATTATCTCCTGTCCTCCTGATTATTCTTCTTATGTAGTCGCCCCTTAATAATATTTCTATAATATTTTTTAATAATATTTTCTAATTCATCCATACCAGTAATGCCTTTTGTCTTAGTGGCTTTATTGTCTTGCCTTGGGTGAATGTATATTTACATCCGCTGTATTGAGTACTTTCACCCATAAACATACCATACATTAAAACTATTTTTTATATATATATATATATATATATATATATATATATATATATATATATATATATATATATATATATGCACATGGCCGAGTGGTTAGAATATCTGCATTCTGACCACGAGTCCCGGGCATGAATGTCAACATGGCCGATTGTCGATGCAAAGGTTTGCGGACTATGCCTTCAGGCACCTTTGGAAAGTGCCAAAAAATCATACCACGGGTGGACCCAAAACATGCGAGTGAAACTGGGTTGAAGGGGCTCTTGCGGGTTCTTATTTTTAGTGGACACCCATAATCGAATATATATATATATATATATATATATATATATATATTACTATTGAAAAAAAAACATGAAATTTTTTTCAAGCTGCTAGAACGTCTGCCAAAAAGCGCTAAATAAATATCTAGAGCTATTCTATCCAATTAATCAAGAAAAGATAAATTCACTTACCTGGTTTGCCAACTCATATGAGTTCTGTGTTGAAACGCTTATAATTCAGTTTTTTTATAAATCGATTCAACTACTCAATCGATCTCATATTCATATTTTCTAAAGTTTCGTTATAAACACGTCAGAAGGTTTAGATTTCGAACTAGAACATTTGGATCTATTTTATCAAGCTGGTCCTTGATCTAAGCTTTCGGCTTACATGAGCTATTTTCATTGTGGTTATAAGGACATTTTAACAAAGATATTCACAATCGGACTTACGAACTGTGTTTACTATTTCGCGACCGTTATCGTCCCATGCAATCTTCCATGTCAACATATCAAAATATTATCTTCGATGATGAATTCATTCATTATGTTATATTTAATATATATATATATATTGTTTTTACAGATACAAATATTTAAGTAAATGCTCTGTTTATAATAAACAGTATTAACTACATTTACCGACCTGAATGTGCGAGAAATTTAATAGAAAATATATTTCCTTCAACAGGAATCAAACCTGTATCCTACGCGGAACTGTCATATAGCCTGGCTTCCTATACTTTTTAGCTACAGAGAAAGCACCTGGTTAGCAAAGTCAAATGACTGTTTTCAAACCACAATTTTTTTTCTCGAATCTGTTCGAATTTATTTGTTTAGTTTTATATATATATATATATATATATATATATATATATATATATATATATATATATATATATATTTATCCAAGTGTGGAATTGGTGTATACGGAATAACTACCAATAACCAAAAAAATACTATTCTTAAAAGAGTGTTCAATAGAGAGTAGTTCAAATATAATTTATACGAAAATTATAGCATAAATATGTTATAAAATCATTACAAAAATAGAATAAAGATTTTTAAAACATTCAAATCGACTAATATTGTCTTGTTTTTCTCATTTAAACTTCAAAAATACTTGGATAATGAAGTCTTGTATTTAAGATTTCTACTGTTGAAAGATTGCCCATGTCTACGCCAACGCCCTTTCAATGTATTCATAGTACTTCCAATGTAAAATATTTTAATACTAGTGTAGAAATTGCACTAAGATAAGCTAGAGAACAAGTTAAACAAGTTATTCTGTAATAGGCATTTATTAAGATTCCTGCAATTGCAAAAATTATTATTAGTGTCATTATACTTAGTTTTACTCGTTGTTTTTGAGTCCTTATAATTGTTGAAGACTCTGTTATTAAATTTCTTAATTATTTTTTCCAGGTTATCAGTACAACTTTAGATTAATTTAAGGGTATTATAATTGAATAGTTTACTGAGTGGATTAGTTTCGGGGTCGGGGAAATGTTTTTTGATAAGGTTTAGAAAGTTATATACTAGTTTGGTTTTAACCATTAGGTTGAAAGGGGGAGTAAACCAAATGAAATTCCTGGATCTTCTTTTCTTATTGTGGTCATAATTAATTTCTGTATTCAATAGTGGTACTCTTGTAACAAAGGTAGAATTATAAAAAACACTTTGCTAGAAGAATTAGCACTTATCCTAACTTCAATGGGCAAGGGTATGTGCTTAATATTAGTAAGGTAATATATATATATATATATATATTTATATATATAAGTGAACATTGAAGTCAACATTCAGAGGTGACAGGATGTTTCATGCTAGACGCAATCGTCAGGCCGCGAATTTTTCCTCCACTATTTTTATATATGGGTCAGTGGTGCATTGTGGGTAATATTCTGGCGGTTATTTTTGCGAGAGTAAACTAGGAGTAAACAAAGTAACTAATAATAACAAAAACAAAATGTCCTTAGCAACTGGAAGAATTTAGAGAATGCTATTTTCATATTGTTAACTGAAAATTATTTTCATTTATATATATATATATATATATATATATATATATATATATATATATATATATTTGTTGAAAAACATTAGATGGGTACTTTTATTTATTACTTTTATTAAGTTGGTTTCATATGTTTGCAAATGTTCTTCGTTCATGGATTAATGAATATAAATATAGTCCAAAAGTTGTTTTTGATTCCGATCACTTTCGACTAAGCTATTATCTATCTTCAATTATATTGTTATGCTCGGCGAGCTGAGTTCGAATTCCAGTCGAATCCATTACATTCACTTACTTGCTACTACCCTTGGGAAAGGTATCCTCCTCTTCTTCTCCCCCCCCCATATTTGGATAAATAACAGGACAGATCGGGTTCTATTGCCCTGGATGGCAACTGGTCTACCGCAGAAAGAAATGGCAACCTGCTGCGGGAAAACATTTGCCTCGTCAGTCAGGTACCGAAAGATACATGATCGCCTAAGCGTGTATCATGCATGGTACATAACTTCCTGATTAAAATAAAAAGTGCGCCAGTTGTATTATGCAATATATAAAACTTGCTGAAAGTAAACCTAATCTTAATTCCTAAAGCCGGTTAGTGCAATGTGACCGTGTTCGTAATTGATATTATTATTATTATTAAGGGTTGATTTTATGGTTTGTTTGTTGCATAATAAGGGTTTCCATAACATTTACCCGCTTTCTGTATATCGGAGGTACGTATCTCATTTGTTTTCTCGGCAAGTATATTGAGTATTGAATTTGGTAAAATTCTACAATGATTAATTAAAATGTTTTCGTATGGAGCTGGTCAGTGAGATGTGGAGCCACTCATCTTTAAAGATGGGTGATGATGTATCCAACGTGATTACATCTGGGTTTGTTTTAATCAGGAATGCAATCTGGGCCTGGACGCTCAGCAATCTGAAATTTTGGTTGATTGGCGCCTAATCAATAACAAATCCAGAAAACCAAACAGAAGGATGAGATTGACGAGAGTGAGGAGTGGCTAATAACATATGATAGAGATTAGCATAATCATGGTCGATGTTTCGAAAGGGCTTACTCCAGCAATGCTGGTTCAATCGCTAAAGATGATGACATAAAATGTTTTTCATGTATTCACTATATTTCCTACTCTCACTTTAATTCAAAATACCGTAAGTAAATGAGAGTCGACATATTTTCTTATATAATTGAGGAGTTGTGTCCGTGGGTGTAATTGAAAACGCATTAAACACTGAATTTTAGAGTGACGCTAAAAAGATCCAGTTCCTCAATGGAATCCAATCGAGGTAGGTTCTGGTTGGATGAATGGGTTCTATAACATACTCCTGAATAATTTTAGAGTAACACTGAATTTTAGAGTGACACTGAAAAGATCCAGTTCTTCAATAGAATCCAATCGAAGGAGGTTCTGGTTAGATGAATGGGTTCTATAACATACTCCTGAATAATTTTAGAGTGAAACTAAATTTTAGAGTGACACTGAATTTTAGAGTGACACTGAAAAGATCCAGTTCTTCAATAGAATCCAATCGAGGGAGGGTCTGGTTGGATGAATGGGTTCTATAACATACTCCTGAATAATTTTAGAGTAACACTGAATTTTTGAGTGACACTGAAAAGATCCAGTTCTTCAATAGAATCCAATCGAAGGAGGTTCTGGTTAGATGAATGGGTTCTATTACATACTCCTGAATAATTTTAGAGTGACACTAAATTTTAGAGTGACACTGAATTTTAGAGTGACACTGAAAAGATCCAGTTCTTCAATAGAATCCAATCGAGGGAGGGTCTGGTTGGATGAATGGGTTCTATAACATACTCCTGAATAATTTTAGAGTAACACTGAATTTTTGAGTGACACTGAAAAGATCCAGTTCTTCAATAGAATCCAATCGAAGGAGGTTCTGGTTAGATGAATGGGTTCTATAACATACTCCTGAATAATTTTAGAGTGACACTAAATTTTAGAGTGACACTGAATTTTAGAGTGACACTGAAAAGATCCAGTTCTTCAATAGAATCCAATCGAGGGAGGTTCTGGTTGGAGGAATTGGTTCTATAACATACTCCTGAATAATTTTAGAGTAACACTGAATTTTAGAGTGACACTGAAAAGATCCAGTTCTTCAACAGAATCCAATCGAGGGAGGTTCTGGTTGGATGAATCGGTTCTATAACACACTCCTTAAAAGTGCTGTTAACTGATAAACTACAAACAATATGATTTGTGCTTGTCAAGGTCGGTTTTCTTAAAGATTTTCAAGTCGAATGTGGTATGAGCGTGATAAGAGTTGAGGTGTCCACCTGGAATCTTACTAGAGTTTTAGGTATTACCTGCGAGATTCGAAATCTACCTTGAACTTTGCAAAAACTTAATTCCCTTTAGACTCCCGTCTATATACTCCTTCTTACCGGAGATGTCTGTCTCTTGAATTTGAGGTATTCGTTTATGTTTTTACAGTTTTGCTTTTAGTGTCGTTCTTGAAAATCAGCATCCTGTCTGTTTATTTTGATTCGGACTGTACCCTATACTACAATATGGATATACACAATTAATCTTTCAATTCTGATATTTGCTAAAGTTAGTTTAGAATGGCCCAAGTCCGTAATCTAGGATCAGTTTGTGAGGATCAAACTCAATTCAGTATATATGTTTGTCGGCGAATTTTGTGGTTTTCTTAAAATATTCTGCGATCCTTTGTTTGTCTTCATGATTCTTTTAATCCGTATTTCTTGCTTTTTAGATATTTTTTCCTTTTTTCTTTTCTTTATATAACTGACAATACCAGAGACGGGAAGAGAATTCTTCCATTGAAAATTGCCCGCACCAAGCGACGCCATTTTATGTCTTAGCTTCCTTTGTTTTTTTTTTTTTGTGGTTTTTTGTTTGTTTGTTTTGTTTTTTGGGGTTTTTTTTGTATTGTTCTGCAAAGCTGAGTCATACCCTCCAAGGGAGATAACTACGTTTTGCTTTCAGCTTTTGTATGAATTGCCCTCTAGTAGAAGGCCAACTTTGTATATCGGCGCAGGGGTAAATGACACTAGATAAAAACGCGAAGTAAATAACAAGATTTCGCTATCTAAATTAAACGCAGAATTCTGGAAGCGTGTAAAAAAGGTTAGGAGGAAGCGATAAGAATAAATAAAAGGTGTATGTGTGTGAGAGAGAGATAGAAAGAGGTAGAGAGACAGAAAGGTAATGAATAGAAATAGAGAGAGATAAAGAACGAAATATGTGTTGAATAGAAAATGAAAAGAAGTGGTCTAAATCTAGAAAAGAAAGAATGAAAAACAAATCAATGATGAAAAATAAGAGACGGAATAGAAAGACAGCAACGAAAGAAAAAGAAAATTCAATGAAGAAAATAAATGAAATCCTTAAATAATTTCACCAGGACGAAAATTACAAATATTTAGGAATCCAAAAGATAGACAGCATAAAGCATGCGGTAAAAAAGGAAAATAAATTAAAAAAAGATATCTACAGAACATAAACGATTTTTTCAACTAGGAATAGTGTCTTGGGTATGACGATAAACTACATCCGGCAGTAAGTTCTCTGATTGAAAGGTTTTGAGAAACGTGGAAGCACCTCTTAACTGTTATTGTTTCCATGTTGTTGTTACCAAGTCCACCCTGACCCGGGGTGGTAGCACCTGTTAGGGTCCCATCTATGGACAAATAGTTAAGCTCAAAACAGAGGTCAAATCCTATGAGTGAATAAAAGTCGATTTTTATAGTAAAAGTACCAGCAATACATTTGGAAAAAATACCAGCAATAGATTTGACTCTTGACAAAAACCCTCTTGACAGAAATACGTCGATGGAACCAGATCTACAAACTAATTTCTTACAAAGAATACATATTCTATTCATACGAACCTATCCTAATAATCTTGTCGGCATTAAATAACCGGTTGAGGTTGATATGACGTAAAACGACATAAACATTTTCAAGGCTCAACTGGAAAATTGCTGAAATAAAAAAAAAGAACTGATATATAAATTATGAAAATTAATTACTTGCCGTAACATACACCAGCCGAAAGCTGATGTTGACCGTCTTTATATTGCCAGAAGTGATGGTGATATTGGGTTGCAAAAAAACGATTATCTCTCTTTTGGTTGAGGCTAAGTCGCGTGATGGCCAGTGAATGATGTCAAGTCATAGAGTGACGAACGCCAGTGGCTATTTATCACGCCTGGAAGCAAGACCTTTCAACCCCTGCCAGTTGCGATGTAGGCCACGAAGATGGACGACACAAACCCACAATAATAGGACATACGGAGATAACAACGGTCTCATGTGGCACATAGATGACACCACTAGACCGTTTTCCTGTAATTGAGACCCTCTATATTCGCCCCTTTCACATTGCTTGTTGTATGCATATAATTTCTGTGTGAGACAAATTACTAAAAAGTATGTATATATCAGTCAGTCAGTTATGTGCCATGCGTGATACACGCTTAGGCGATCATGTATCTTTCGATACATGACTGACGAGGCAGTTTTTTTTTCCCCGTAGTAGATTTCTTTCTGCGTTAGACCAGTTGCCATCCAAGTTTATAGAACCCAGTATGTCCTGTTATTTACCCATAAATGCGGGGAGAAAAAGAGGATTCATACTTTTCCAAAGCGTATTAACACGTAAGTGAATGTTATGGATTCGGCTGGATTTCGAATCCATTAAATATTATTTAAGAACCATTCTTGTCATTTCTTTGTTTCAGCGATTCCATCCGTGTGTTATTATATCGCGGATATGTTAATGCCAATAAATGTAACTGGTAAAATTCTTTATTTCCAAACATCCCCATTAGCTGTTAAGATTTAATCCACCATTAATTAAAATTTAAACCAATCACAATTATTTTAAAATCTATTTTGGGACCATATCTCATTCGATGCCACAAGTAGTTAACTATTATGAAAACTGAAAAAAAGACTTCATTTTTTAAGAAAAGTATAAATTCCTCGCTAAATTTATTAAAATGAATACTCTTAGAATCTTAGATTCAAGAGATTATTTTTCTTTTTAACATCTGGGAAGAAAAATCCAATAATGCCCTCAGAAGTATCTATGTAGATTTAGATAAACGCAAATTTCATCAGTAACTGAAGAATTCAAGTCTAAAAGAAGAAACCAATATTTACAATGGTTGCCAAGGCCAAAGAATATTCACCAGTACTTACTAAGCAAACTTAAAAAATGGAATAGAACAAATACGTACATGATATTAATAAAATGTTGAGACTATTGACCACTTAGTGTCTGTCCTCTCAAACTTGAAACTAGCGGAATAAAAAGATCGATAGTGTTAGGCAGTATATTTAGCAGAAGACATGTCAGTATTACTGTTACGCCACTAGTTGAAAAGTGATAACAACATTAGTCTGAAATAGTCATAAAAAGCGATAAGCTCACTATTCTTGAAGACTTTACTGTTCCTGCTGACAGGCATATAAAAGCTAATAGAATCGACATAGAGATTAAAGACTATAAACAAAATGCCTTTTCATGGACATGACAGTGTCTTAAAAAATGTAGATGTTAAAGAATGTGACAAAAAGGTAAATATAAAAATCTTCAAATTGAAAAACAACAAAGTGATACCTTACAATCTGCTGTTATATTATTAATAGATGGAACTCTAGGTACAAAAGAATTTGGTACAAACAAGAACATTAACAATGTAGTTCGAGTTTGCAAAAGGATTTTTTAAAAAAAGATAAATATTTATACTCAGTAGAGTATTATCAATGTAAAGAAAATACAAACGCTGTACGTGTTAAGTAGCAGTTTATGAGTGCATTTCGCCGAATAGAATACATATATATTTACTAATTTGTCTTACCATTGTTCTCGGGTAATGTGTAATTAAGAAGTTATATTGAAAAGAAAACATAATAAAAATAATAATAATAATAATAATGATAATAATGATGATGATAATAATAATAATGATAATAATATTATTAATAATGATAATAATAATGATAATAATAATAACAATAATAATGATGATGATGATAATAATATTAGTAATAATGATAATAATAATAATGGTGATGATGATAATAATATTAATAATAATGATAATAATAAAAATAATAATGATAATAATAATGATTATGATAATAATGATGATGATGATGATGATGATGATGATGATGATAATTTTAGTGATAATGATAATAATAATGGTGATGATGATAATAATATTAATAATAATGATAATAAGGACCTTGAAATAGAAATCTCGAAAATGTGGCATATAGGAACATCAACAATCCCTGTTGTAGTTGGAGCCCTAGGACTGGTTGGAAAAGATTGCAGTAGACTAACTGAAGGGATTCATGGAAGTCCATGCCTCAAGGAGATACAAAAAATTGTTCTGACAAATACAGCCCACACCTTACGAAGGGCTTTATCTATGTAATTTAATTTTTTTTTTTTTTTTTTGTCAGTGGAAAGTGTCATAACGCCATTTCTAACCTTAGGTCTCTGGACAGGACCCGGAAAGAAATGTGTAAACGCCAGAAATCAAATAAAATAAAAATAATGATAATAATCAAAATAATAATGATAATAATAATAATGATGATGGTAATAATAATAATAATAATAATAGTCTTTTCAGTGATAGTAAATTTCCAGCATGAAAATGTGAAAAACCCTATTATACCTAAATCAAATCAAAAGCACTGCTACTTCTAATCGCCAGAATATCCGACGTGGAATCTTTCAATGAGACTCCCTTTTACCCCAGCTTTTTTTTTTTTTTTTTTCTCTCCTCATTTCCCCTTTGGCATGAATTAAACAATAATAGCTGTGGATACAAAGTAAACAAGAAAGTATTTTATCATCTACCCTAAATGGCTGGACTCAAACGATTTGCCAAAGACCATAATAAGTTGAAGGATCTCTTCAATGCCGTAAAATATGTCAGTGACGACATAGGCATGGATTCGCATTAGATAAATGTGCAAAAGTAACATTCAAGAAAGATAGAATTACAGAAACACACTCAATAGATTTAGATTTTGTCACAAAGATTAGGGAACTGGAACAAGAAGAAGCCGAAAGATACATAATGTTATATTCCTTGCTAATAAAAATATGGAACGGACAATTACGGTTGATAAATAGTAACAGGTTTATTGTAGAAGCCAGTACAAACAAGGAAGTAATAATTATGTACGTGCTGCTATCGGAAGGACGCTAGTCTCACAGATCCCAGCTCGACGGTATTTACCTGCCTCCCAACAAAGAAGGATGTGGCACAAGGCCGAGTTTAATGTGGGGCAATCCGAACCCGTAGGCTCGGCCAAAAATTCCCCGTAACCCCGCATAAACGGGTTTGGGTCTGTTTACCTCCCCGAATGAGACTCTGCCCTTCGCCCGGGTTCCTCTCTGCCCAAAGGCAGAGAGTTCGACAGCAGCCAAGATCTGAATAACAGATCCCTGCTTGACTCTCCCGCCCGTTGTCCTCATGGATGCTTATAGGTGGTTACTACCAATAGTGCCGACACTCATGGGGTTGGCAGGTTATTCCATCACATCACATAGGAATTAGCAAACGAGATGGAATACACCATACCCAAATGAAGGAGAACGTAAAAAAAGAATACTATAGATGTCTAGTATTAAATACCGAGTCGAATTAACAAAACAGATATCAGCCATAAACACTTTCCAATACAGTTTCAATATCCTTAATTAGACCATAGCTGACATTAAGTGGATGCCTGTCAAAGCGTGAAAGCTTCTCACTTGTTACCGCAGTCATCATCCTTGATCGTCTGTATATACTCAGATCCGCAGAAGACAGAGGATTAGTTCAACTTGAACTACTTTACAGAACTCCAACAATCGTTCTTCAAAGATACCTGGAAACTACGGAAGACCGGATAATAACCTGTGTCAAAGAACGTGAAAGAAATAAGAAATGTTATCCTGCAATAAAGGAAGCCACCAAATTCAAAAGCAAATTTCAAGTGGGTGAAGAAATGCAAATAAACAGGAATGCACCTACTGTAGCAACAAAGAACCTAAAAGAGAAAGCAAAAGCAATGTACAAAATGCTGAAACGAGAGCAAGATGTGCCATTTCATGCTCAATACTCTTCCGTAAGATACAAACTAATGTAGACAAACTCCGTAACCATCAGTCGTTACGTGGTGTAGGGTTAATAGCTGACACCGAAGGTTTTATACTTGCTGTACAGGACCAATGCTTTCTAACTTGAAATTACAACACATAGTGAAAACTTGAGTTGACCCGATGGACAGATTCTCTAATAAGTATCCTGAATCAATTGACCAATTTGTATCAGGTTTCACGGTTTTAGCACCGACTGAATATAAATCTCAGCATGATTGAGTGGGCCAATATCTGCACTGAGATATATGCAATTTTTACAGGAAGGAAACTGTAAGAAACTGGTATGAACATCACCTAGATCTGGTGTCAGGACTTGTAACAATTTTATGGGGTTTTAAAATACACATAGACATAACAATCAAAGATAATCGCTCAGGCATTTTATTCAAATACCAAGAAAACAGAATGGGCTTTCTTATTGATATGGCAGATTGTAATGTATCTGTGAAGATTATCTAAAAACTATCAAGGATTTTGAAATGGAAATCTAAAACATGTGGCACATGAGGATATCCATAATTCTACTTGCAGATGGATCCCTCGGACTGATTGGAAAAGCTTCGGATAGACACATTGAAGGGATTCTTGGTAGTCTATGCCTAAAAGAAATACAAACATTTTACTCATAAATACAGCCAAGACCTTTATCTATGTGTCAGATCTCAGCTTTTTTGACTTTTTTTTTTTTTGCCTTGATGGCATTTTTGAGCTCAGGTCTCTGGTTGGGACCTGGAAAGAAATGTGTATACACCAAAAATCAAAGTAAATAAAATAATAACTAAGTGCTTCTGATTCGTAAGTAGAGGTTGTTGGTGACCGTCATAGTTGTGACTCCAGAATTTAATGTTTGAATGATGAAGCAGTTAAGATGACTTAGGTGTTACATCTAGTTAGTTGGGAGCAGTTGACCGACCTAAAATATTTCTAACGTGGCTCGGACTGCAAGGTAATGGGCTGCATTTATCAAAACCTGCGCAAATTTGACTGTGATGCATGTGCTTGGTATACACTTAAACTGGGTGCCATGATTACCGTAATTCCCCATGTATAATACGCATTTATTTCTAAAAAATAATAAGTAAAATTAATGGTTTGTATTATGCATAGCTACAAAAATTCTTCGAAGAATTGCTGCTTCATAGGTCGATTTCAGTTGCGAAATGACTACTCAGCACAAACATACGAAAATTTGACACTAACATTCAGCGATTGCGACACTATAAGGATGTCAAATACAATCATATGTACCTAAGAATACTTACAAATGTAAAATAAAATAAGAATTGTCATAAAACTAAATTAGAATAATATTATTCTGTGTTTAAAACCGCTTCCTCAAATAATAATAATAATAATTGCTCTAATGCTAGACCATACATGGCTCTCATGGCTTCTGATGTTAATTTATTTGATTTAGTTAAAGATTGTCTTGATGAATTAGGAGGTGTGACTGTAAATATCCAGTTCAGTACCACAGATTTGTTGTCAATTTCCTGAGCATAACCACTTGGCCATGTCCCTGGAGGGTGACGCAGTGTGAATATCAGTTCATGAGCGGAAGTAGTAAAAGAGTATCATAGCTGGGCGTCGAAAGAGATTTTATTCCAGTTTGAAAGATGAGACAGCCGAGGCAACTTGGGAGTCATTCTTAGTTTTTTAGAAACACCCACAATCGGAGACGGTCTGAAAGGACTTGTTTACTTGACCTGAATGTATTTCTTACTAGATCCCATCAGCAAGGTAGATTATAAAATGCGTTTTAAAAAAACAAACTCTCACAGTAGCTGTGATGAATGTGATGATGATCACTCTTATCAGACTTGGTGTCATGATGAGGATATTGGAACCTGTATATTTGGGACACTATTGCAAAGGAGCTGTAAATTTAAAAAAATACTAAATTCCGATAGACTGAAGTTATACCGATGATAAGACGAAGGAAAATGAAAGAAGAGGATGTATGTTTTTGAGAAAAAACTAGAGGACTGAAAAACACTAAATTCCGATAGACTGAAGACATACCGATGACCGGACGAAGGAAAATTGAAGAAAAGGATATTTTTTTATTGGGGAAAAAAAACTAGAAGGTAATTAAATTTCTCGCCCTCCGAAGAGATAAAACAAAGAGACCATCTGGTTTCGATTAGAACTGGGACTACGTGACGAGCTATTCTGTTGGTCCAAGGACCTCCCGGAAAAAAATAGATGAGATTTTTTACGGCCATTGTGTGATAAAGATGAAGAAGGACCTCTGTCCGCGAGTTCGGTTGATTGATAAGTATTAACTTTTAGAAGCAGACAGTTTTCGAGTAGGAAATAGATAAGAGAATGATAATGAAATTTTTCGTCTGCCGAAACGCGATAAAACTTCCCAAAATCAATGGATTGTTCCCTTTTTGCAACTTGTTGACCAAATGGTTGACGATGGGATGACAATAATAAATTCCAGATGCGAAAATGACCACACACAAAGGCAGCATAGGAAACAGTTTGGACGATAATTAACATTTGGCCGTTGGGCTCGACCATACCTAGCCCTTAACCGTTAACCGCTATACTACCCTTGTATCCAAATTATCTATATTCTACTCTTTACAGGTGTAGGAAAAAGAAAACCTGGTACGCACAAAAGAATTCTTCACAGCTAGGCCTCACTTGTAAGAAATTGGGATATTTTAAAAGGTTCTGGATATTATCATTAGCCGTCCAACTTCGTAGCGGACAGGGCATGCCTTTATATCATAGCTGACTGCTCTCGGTAAAACTGACGCTCTTAAAAAAGGGTCACTCATTATATGAGTTAACAAAGCATCTTGAAATGGTGCATTTCTTCTAGCGAAAAATGTTTTAACTTACAATAAAAACCCGTTAAAAACATTCTTCTGAATAGAAGAAATTACATTTTCACATACATTTCAATGCTTTGAGAATCGATCAAAAATGAAAACATATTCCGACAGACACACATACACAGACACACACATTTATATATAAGAATAAAAAATATAGTTTTAAAGTATGCTGTATTTATGTGTAAAAGTACCAGTGATAGAACGTGTGTAAATGTAAAAGTGAACAATGAGGTGAACATTTATATATATATATATATATATATATATATATATATATATAATTATTTATTTAAAGTATGATTCATACTTTTAAATAAATAATTATATGATTCATACTTTTAAATAAATAATTATATTTAGGCTCTACTTTGTATCGAGCACTGTTTTTTAAAAACAATAACAAAAAAATACTAAAGAAATTGGATTATTTACCTAACGATTTCTTTCCTATTTTCTATATATTTTCACATACACACACACACACACACATATATATATGTGTGTGTGTGTGTGTGTGTGTGTGTGTGTACATTTAAGCAAACACATGTGAATGTGACCAATAATATAAAAAACAACGCACCTAACAATATAAAATAAAAATGTAATTGCCTCTATATATATATATATATATGTGTGTTTGTGTGTGTGTGCGCGCGCGCGTGCGCGTGCGCTGGTATATATGAGAGTGGACATATACATATATTAAGTATAAAATGCGTATATTTCGGCAGTATGTTTCTACTGAGACATGTTTCGTTGAATAATTCAGGCATGTTCTGTCTACTTATTTTCGATAGGTTCGTTTCATATTGGCGGATAAGCTTTTTTGTCATTATTGAAAGACGAGAGGAAATCACCGTGTTGATACATATTTTATTTTTTTACTACTCATTTCGTAAAAACTCTCCACAACATACATAGTTACCTCCTTTTAAACGGTGTCAGCGATCACGCACTGACTCAGCACTCCTCACTCCACATATAAGAAATTTAATTTTCAGATGACCACAACAATTTTTGTTTTTCACAACAATGAAGACTAAAATATTTATCCTATAACAAACAATACGCTGACGATGACATTGTTCTATGTCGAAAGTACTCGGGAATAAATATAATATCTCTCAACACGATGATTTCCTCTCGTCTTTCAATAATGACACTATAGAGCTTATAAAAAGTTAGTGAATATGAAAGGATCCTATCGAAATAAGTAGACAGAACATGTCTAAATTATTCAACGAAACATGTCTCAATATAAAAATCTATATATAGTGATATGTATGAATATGTGTGTACAGTTATAGATATATAAAAAGCCTCCATGATAAGCATATGCATATGTGTGTGTTTGTGTGTGTGTGTGTGTGTGTGTATCCGCAGGTATGTATTGATGTGAATGTATATGCTTACATGTATGTACAAGTATGAAAAAGGGTTTAGTTATAGATGGAGGATGGTTAGATTAAGGATGCATATATAAAGGATTAGTATTTGTTTGTTTTGTTTTTTTTCATATGGTATGTATACATTTTTCATTAAATCTAATGTATTATCAAGGAAGTTAACTTTTTTTAATTTAGTGCTTACTGTAATTTTTAAGTTCAGGCATTTAAATTCTTTATATAATATCTTTCTAATTTTATCTATTTTAAAGTTAGTAGAGTTCTTCATAACCATGAGTCCATCGTCTCTGTATAAACCAATGTCAGTTATATTAATTTCACGGTACGCTGTGAGATTGTATAATATAAAAAGACCTATAAGGTTAGAAGACTCAGCTGAGTCTAGTGAACCCATTGTGATGTTAAAGTGGTCATAAGAATTTTTTATCCATTGCTCACCTTTGTGTATCAGTACCGATTTTTCGCATTTATAATTATGCTCTTTTCTTCTTCTGTAATATCCGTGTACTGGTTGGCAAATTCCAATGCATTCATGAATAGTTCTTTAGATATTGATTGGTAATAATTTTCAATATCAAACTGCATTAGCGTACTTTATATCAGGAAACCAGTTAGTCACGACTTTGGTATTAATCCAAAGTTTCAGCTCTATTTTTCCTTTAATCTGTTGCTCAACCCTTTCTAGAATCTTTTTACTAATTTTTCTGATTTCAGGTCTTGTTGGGTTTATTATCCTTGTAGTGTGATTTGCTTCGAAATCTGGTTTCTGGTCCTTTAAGATTATACAGCACTCTTTTTCCGTAAGTTTACCTACTCTACACTAATCTTCATTTTATCTGTGATTTGAGGTAATTATTATTCTCCATTTTATAGTTCTTATGAAAA